GGGTGACTTGCCCGCGAAGATAGCAAACTTTCCAGTGTGGTGTGTGTGTGTGTGTGTGTGTGTGTGTGTGTGTGTGTGTGTGTGTGTGTGTGTGTGTGTGTGTGTGTGTAAACAAATATTGGGTTAGTCTTACTTAGATACTGTGTATGGTCAAAGGCAATGGGAGTTCACCCTATCAAAAACAGTCCACTACCTTGTGGCATCTATAAGATGAACAGAGCTTCGAGAGTTCCTGAGGCAACACCTGCGACGCCGCTGGTGCCAAACCGTATAGGTCTATGCCGTTTCTTTGGCTCCATCTGCTGCGTGGAGAGAGGGAACCTGCTGCTTGGGCAACAATTTGCTCCTCACCTTCTTTCGCCCAGGTATTAACTATACTTTCTTTCTGTAAAGATGAGTTATCTCACACCACTGGCGAGAACATTCCAGGAACAATGCACAGCGTCGACACAACACTAAGAGTGGGGGTTACCAGTTATAAACTACAATGCTCAATTGGCGTAAAAGCGTAGCGCGAGAGGCATCCTCACATTTTTTTCGCCCAGGTTTGCGCGTAGAGACGTGTACTCCACACAGACCTAAAGATCAAGAATTTTGAATGCTGGGCAGATTTTTTTATTGTCATCAGGTCTATCAAGAAAATTGCTTCACTGTGATATTTACTTATCATTTCTGCATCAGTGAAATATTCTTTGAAATGAGGATGCAGAAATCATTACTTGTAACGTAAGAAATTAAGTTACATTTCTATGCAAGTAACGGCAATGGTAACACCATTACTTTAACCCAATGCTTAGGAGTCAATTAGTAGACCTTGTGACCTTACCTGATTTCACCTTTCCTTGAATTGACGGGAAAACGTATTTTTTACTTGTGTTATGAATATCGATAGTGTTATTTTTGTTATAAACATTATAATGACTATAATGTTATAAACATTAGTAACAGCAAAATAAGATAACGTAAAATATTTTCGTAAATCAAAGAAAAGGGTTAACGGGCGAGATAGGCAGTACTCTTAATTGGCTCATAGGTGACTTAGTCCAAGTGTAGCCATCTATGTGTAAAACAAGCAAACAAGTAAACCAACAGTGTGCATGGCATACACGTACACGTTACGCCCGTCAGCATTGGGTTAAAGATGTAGTGTAACCATCGCTGTACACATGCACACACACACACACAGACATGCAGACACACACATAAAATGTACCGAGGTAATAATCATTACATATAGTATCAATGATGACACAGACACTGAAACGCATATGCCAGGGGTGTGCAACCTTTTTTCCCAAAGGGCCACTAGTCACGACTCTGTTGGTATGGAGGGCCACATAACCTTACTATTTCATGTTATTTACTACGGTCGAAGACATAATTTTTTTACTGATTTTATTTATATTGGGATCACAAAAATAAGAATTCTCCGAAACAAATGCATTTTCCTTACTATAAATTAGCAAATGAAAGGCTACCGTACCTTATTATTATAATGTACAAACATAAATCATTAGTTATTGTTGGTTGAATGGGATCATTAACAAGAATTATTATAAAAAACATACATTTCCTGAGCATTAATTTGCATATGAAAGGCTACCCTTGTGAGATGGTTGATGTTGCATTTGGGACACCAACTCATCAATATCAGGCTGTATGGATGATGTGGCTACACGCAGGGTACTTTCCAAATGTTCATCAGTAAGTGAAGATCTATACTTGTTTTTAACCAGATTCATTTTTGAAAAGAGCTGCTCACATACATATGTGCTACCAAACACTGCCATCATTTTCCTTGCATGAGCAGAGAGTTTTGGATACACTGTTACTGATACATGCTTCTTATAAAACTGGTATACTGAACTATCATCAAACTTCTTTTTTAGCTCATCATTGCATTGTAGTTCGATTATTTCCATTTGCATATCCTCGGGAATTGCTGTCACATCCACAGAAAAAGGAGAAGCAAAGACTTCAATGGCTTGTGAATGTTTCTTGAGGTCACCAAATCTTTCTGAACATTCCTCTCGTAAGACTGCCAACTTGTCACCATACTTATGATACTGAAGGTTGCTAGTGTCATGGTTTTTCAGTGTAGGAAAGTGGGCTGGGTTCTTGTTTCTGATTTGTGACTCCCATAGACGCAATTTTATCTGGAAGCCTTTGATCAGTGAGAACATCTCATTTATTAGTTGATCTTTTCCTTGAAGTCTAACATTCAATACACTGAGATGATCAGTTATATCTACTAAAAATGCTAAGTCACATCTCCATTCCTTATTTCTCAATTCAGGGATAGCATTACCTTTCATATCTAAGAACAGCACAATTTCTGGTACACGAGAATATGAATTTTGTCAAACTTTCGGTGGGCTCTACTTGGTAATTCTCTCTCTCTCTCTCTCTCTCTCTCTCTCTCTCTCTCTCTCTCTCTCTCTCTCTCTCTCTCTCTCTCTCTCTCTCTCTCTCTCTCTGAGGGCCGCACTATAGTTTATTTATTTTTAGGAGAAAGGGCCGCAATGAAAGCCTTTGAGGGCCGCATGCGGCCCTTGGGCCACAGGTTGCACAGGGCTGGCATATGCTATTGGAATCACCGAAACAATTTTCTTAAGTCTTCCCTTTACTCTCTATTTTGTTTTCTTTACTTCGTGTTCAAAGAAAATTGATTTTATGGTAAACTATTTTACTTTGAAATATTTTACTGATGCATTTGAGTGTGTGTGTTTTTGCCTAGTTGTTTCAATACGGGGGAAGAGCTAAGCTTAGATGGTCCCATCTGCTATATATAAAATATCATATAACATTTTAAACTGAGGCACATTTATGGCACACACAACATTATTTGTTATATGTTTCAATAGTTGTGTTTGGGAAACTAAATTTCTTGACATCTTTCTCACCACTTTTTACTTTCAACTTTTTGCTGTGTCCTCTCGTTCTTCTTGTGTTTAAAGTTATCTTTGTCTAACTTCTTCCTCCCTGTAATATAGTTGAACATCATTATCATGTCACTTTTTTTCTTCTTTCTTCCTCTTTTCTGTAGTCTTTCTTCGTAGCCTATGTCTCTTACAGTAGGTGCCCATCTTGTGGCTACTCTTTGAACTCTTCTAGTTTATCTATATCATTTTTTAAGTGTGGACTCCATACCACTGCCCCATACTCAAGACTAGGTTTTATGATGGCTGTAATGACCTTCTTTACCATGTCTTCGTCCACATACACGAATGCCCTCTTCATGTTGGCAATCAGTCTTAGCATTTTATGAACCTTGCCACGTTCTTGCCAAGTCTCCTAACTTGTATTGGTATAGTGGACGATTTTTACTTTCTCTGAACCTGTGACTACATGGCATTTATTGGTGTTGTATTCCATGTACAGCTCCAAATGAATAAGTTTTCGATGTCGCTTTGAAGGCATTGGCATAAGACTTCGTCTATTATCCTTTTTTGCAATTTAGCGTCGTCTGCAAACATATTCAGATATCTACCTGGGCTTATGTTTGACCCTAAATCATTTATGAAAATAGTAAACATAATCGGCGCCATAGAGTGCTTCCTTATAATTATGGTTCTCATGTCTTTCATGAGGAGTTTACCTTTCACTCCACCTAGGTGTTCTTATTTCCATAATAGTTTTTTTCTGAGTCAGCTTACCAAATGCCTACTTAGAGTCTAAGTATAGACAATCCACTCTTTCTTGTAATATTTCAGAAACTCTATCATAAAAACAGATTTGCTACGCATGACCTTCCTTCCTTCCTTAAAACCAAATTGTTTATTTGATATCATATCGTTTTTTCAAGTAGTACTTCAACCCACTGTTTCCTAATTATATTTTCTAACAGCTTGCACACTACACTAGTTAACGAAACTGGTCTATAATTCAGAGGGTTTTGTTTGTCGCCGTTCTTGTATAAACGTGTAACATTGATAAGTTTGCAATCTTTTAGAAATTTACCTCGTCTCACTGAATTTTAGAATATTAACAATAACGGAGTGCGTAATTCTTCGGCACATTCTCTCTGAACCCAGTTAGATATTTCATCTGGTCCCACTGCTTTAGTCTTGTCTAACCCTTTCAGTAGGTCTTTTATTTCATTCTTTTCTAGTGTGATATTTTCGATATTCTGATTTACGTTTGTACGATTACTTGCCATTTCAAAGTATGGGTCTTGAACAAACACATTTCCTCTTCCTTAGTATAAACGATGTTATTTTTTTGATGGCGCTTATTTGTTTCTACTTTTAGTCTTACTGTTTACTTACAACATGAACCGTATACATTTACAGAACCCATGGCTGGCAGCAGTAGCGTAGCGAGGGGGGGGCAGGGGGGGGGGGGCAGCCGCCCCCCCAATGCTCAGAAAGTTGGTCTCTGAGAAAAGTGCAAATCTGCAATAAAATTTGTAGGCGGGTACGACAAAAAAACAAGGCTTCATTTGCCAAAAATTGATAACATACAATGAAACAACAGAAAAAGAAAACAGTATGTTTTTTGAAAATCTTCTCTCATGTTTCCGTCAGTCTACCATGGAAAGCTAAAGGCTCTGCGGCGTTTTATGATAGACAATTTGACGTAAAGGCGGTTTACACGATCGTTTTTTCCTAACTTTTGTTTTGATATTGGACCACCATGATGGATCGTGTAAAAGGCTAAATTGTTGAAAAAGGTTTGATGTTACCTGACGTTTTTAATCCGCCTGGGAGTCAAAATAAAATCTTCAACGATGGATCATTATCGCCAATTTCTTTGGTATAGTCAAACCAATTGGAGATTTGAATGGCAATCGAGATCCGGTGGGACAGGGCACCTTTTAACAAAATAGAGCAATTTCCCAAACAGTTCGGAAATTAACAGCTTTTACTTCTAGCTAGTTAATGGAACATATTGTTCTCTCACCCTGCAAAAGCACTGCTTCACTTAAATGAGCCCGAGTCTCAACGAGGAAACATCGTATTGTTTGCTTCTCTCAGTGCCCAATGAAACATTGCTAGACAATGTCAGATGCAGATATAGCTATACCAATGGACCTCTCGAGGTATACGTTTGATCCATGCTGCCCACTCCCGAGTGATCGAGCTTCGAGAAACCATGTCATAGAGAAAGGACCAATAAGGCCAACACAATGTGCATTTCCGGTTAACAAACAGGGAAGAAAAATTTTGACAACATGGTATAGCAACTATTCTTGGCTTGAGTACTCTAGATCATCTGATAAAGCATTTTGCTTCTACTGCCGTATTTTTAACAAACAGGTGAGCAAATTCTTAGTGTCTTTTTAGTTTTTAGCATATGACATCCGAGCTGTGCCTTTTCTATTCAAACATATTGCTGCCAGGAAATGAACTTCTTTTTTCATTTTGATCATTCTTTCAGATATCGCAAAAAGGGGACCCCGCATTTATCAATAGTGGGTTCAGCAACTGGAAAAAGACTGAACGATTCTCAAAGCATGAACAATCTGAATGCCATCGGTACTCCGTCGAATCATTTAAAGCATGGGAAAAACAGAAGTCAATCGATCACCTAATCAGTGAGGGTGCTGCCAAACGTGAATCTTATCGTCAGGAAAGGGTATGTTGAAACGTCTACGATAATTGCAAAATTGGCGGCCAATAATAGTGACATATTAGTTGGCTTGTTAAACACAAAGCATTCATTTTGTTAACCCTCTCAATCTCAACTAAGGAGGAGAGATAAAGTTTTAATTTTCAACCGAGAATTCTTCGCAGGGGTTGTGTCAATCGTAGCATCAGATAAGATTGCTTCATTTTTGCCATATTTTTCCCCAAAAAATATATAATTTCTTTTAAATGTAGAGGAAGACAGTCTACCATATCTTACATGCATTTCTTTAACAGGTAAAAAAGAACTGTACGATCATAGGAAAGTTGTTCGATATCACGAGGCTTTTGGGGAAGCTGAATTTGGCATTTCGAGGGCACCGAGATGTAGACTCTGCAAACAGAGGAATTTTTAAAGAATTCGTCGAGTTCGTTTCACAAACAGATCCTATTCTTAACAAGCATCTGTTAAGTGCACCAGGTAAATAAGTGGAAAACAAGGATTGGGGAAAGCGCATTCGGGAAAATGACAGCTCACTACTCAGACACCCTGTATTTCATAAGTTTTCGAAATTGGCTGCGCTTTCTGCAACTCCCTCTCTCCAAGGTTTTTCAAATTTCACTTTGTCACCTTTATGCACAGATGAAACTTCTCAATTTAACATTTTATTTATTTCAACAGAAAATGCAAAATATTTGAGCCCCGAAATCCAGAATCAGTACATTGCAATGATAGGATCAGCCATCAGAAAGGAAACAATCAAACGTGTCAAAGAAGCTGGTGCGTATTCAATAATCGCAGATGAAACTCCTGATAATAGCAAAAAAGAACAGTTGGCATTGGTAGTGAGATGCGTGTATCAAGGTGTCGTAGAGGAACGTTTGCTTGCTGTGAAGACAGTCGATGAAACTGATGCAAAAACGTTGCTGAAAACAATCATGGACGAGCTCAACGAGTGCGAGATCCCAATAGCAATGCTTCGTGGTCAGTGCTATGATGGGGCAAGTAATGTGTCTGGCATCCATGCTGGTTTGCAGGCGCGTATGCGAGATTTTTCAAAAACAGCACTGTACACCCATTGATATGCTCATGTCCTTAATCTGGTCATCGTGGATTCGATGACCAATAACAGGTTTGCAAAGGACTTTTTTGGAACATTGCAGAACTTGTATGTTTTCATTGAAGGCTGCACCAAACGCCATGAAATGTTCGTCAAAAACCAGAACAAAATTATCGCCTCAAAAGTATTTGATTTGGAATTGGAGTCGAATAACGCAGAAGCTTCCAAAATAAAAAAACAACAACCAACGTTCTGAAAAGATTGTCAGATACAAGATGGGCATGCAGAGCAGATAGCATCAAAGCAATTTATCACACCATCGAGTCTGTCATTGCGACGTTGAAGGAAATAATCGAGAAGGAAAAGAAGCCAAACATTTATGCAGAGGCAAAAGGACTTCTCAGAAACATTGACTTTGAATTCATTTTTGCGCTTGAGGTAAGAGTCACATTGCAATTTTCTGCTGAAACTGATATTATCGTATGTCTTGAATGCACTGGCAAAACGAGCAAAGATTATTTTCCAAATATGATTATTATGAAACTTTAGTGGCAAATTGACGAATCAAACATTTAAGAGTTTTTTTCTAAACCATCGTTTGGAAATTTAGGAAGCTTTGAAAATGCTTTGAATTTTTTTAAGAACCTATAAAGATTGTATTCTGTCCTTCCTTCTTTCAGGTTCTCAAAGCTATCTTGTTTGTCAGCAAAGGTGTGTCGGACAAACTTCAGACAGAGGATCTTGACGTTGTTACAGGATGTGAGAGAGTTGCAGATCTTAATTCAGCAATCACCGAACTTCGCAACGACGCAAAGTTTGAATTATTTTGGCAGGAAGCAACAAGAAAATGCAAACGCCTTGACACTGACGGG